AAACAAGAGACTAACTTTAACAACATCAACTTAAAGTCAGCACAACATGGAGAGTTTCCCCTTCATTACTGTTCATTTAAAATGTCAGGGTCATGTTATGTAATGAGCTGGTGCTGCTGATGTTGCAGGAACCTCTCGGTGTTCAGCACCCCAGGTCTTGGCAGGAAGCCCAGCAGAGCCAGCAGGATGTTCACTATGTCCACCAAGTCCAACCCACTACCAAAAGTTCCTCAACCAGAGCGACTGGATCAGGTCTATGAGGCATTGAGGAAAGGCCTTCAGTAAGCACACACACACACACACACACACACACACACACACACACACACACGCACATGTAATGCTGCAGTGACTAATATTTCTGTCTTAGTTCCAGCACTGTGCACTTCATACTGTTGAAGTGTAGAAGGACAAATGTCATCATTTTACAATAAATCCACCTGATTGGATATTGTAACATCATCAGTCTGTACAGAAAGGTTTTTACAGACTATAAACTTAAGTTAAGTTCACACTGAAAAGGCAAATAGTGGCTAACAGTCTCATAAATGCTAACATAACACATTAAATGGTAAATGACTTAATTCATCACAGATATTTCTGCCTTTTTAGTCCACCATAACCAAACAGTGGATCTCCATTACCAATAGGTAATTGGTTTGAACTTAAAGGAATAGTTCAACATTAAGGAAAACAGTAACTCTAACTTTATTTCCAATAGTTAGATGAGGGTGGTTCTGTCAGTTAACTATGAAGCAAAGACCTGTCATTTTATTATAAAAGACTAAGATGAGATGAGCAGAACAACAGGTTAACCATCAGTAAGACAGTCAGTGGGAGTTCAAATCATATCTTCATTTTGTGTGTGTGTGTGTGTGTGTTTCTCAGATCTTACCTGCAGGTTTATCAGATGGACTTGGACAACCTCAGCAGACAGATGAAAGAATCAAAGAGGAACTCCAGACTGGTGCGTCAAGTCTGTCGGCTTCACAGTTTCCTTTTATTTAATGTTGATTTATTTCTTCACTTTTTGACCATCGTCAGTGTTTCCCAGAGAGAAGGAACTGGCTGGTTGATAACGATACTGTACTGTAAGCATTCTCGACATCTTGGTAACTGCCTTTTTTTATGTTTGGAATGTCACATGAAATTGGCAACAGGCAAGTTGATTTAATAATGGCACCATCTGTGTTTCCATTGGTTCCTTATAGGCCCTTCTTCCACTATGAAATCCTGTATGTCAGTGGGGTTGAAATTTCACAGAAAAATGAAGTTTTGATTTTCAGGTCAAAGGAAGTGCATCTGACACTCCGACACACTTCCTGGTAGCTATGGGTAGTTCTATTGGGTGTTGTCCTGGTGACAAATCCATAGTCCAACAATGGAGAGAGCTCTGGGACCTGAAGAAGTTCAAAACCATCATTCAGTGGACATTATTCCTTCTACATCAGAAAGTTACTGACGCTGTCTTTACACTACCTTTATTATAGGGTAGAGATCAAACTTTCTGGTAGCCATGTCTCTCTCCACGTGTAAAACCACTTGGTGATGCTGGAGGAGATGTTTCTACTCCAACATAAAGACCATAAAACACATTGTGCTGCCACTTAATAAAATGTGAAAAATACTTATAACTCGTTGCTTTGTTCTTCCTCAGGGTTTCCTGTATGAACTAGACAAGGTGAGTTATTATCAGTACTGCAATGTTCAAGTAATAGTGTGCTGTATTGTGTATGCAGTGAAAATTTACATAATCCTGAACTCTGCATTTAAACTTATTTGACCCACTTTAGTGTATTAAATTAATTTGTCAATGATGTAGTTCAGTCTGTACTGGTTTGTTGGAGTAAATGTGACTCTGTGCTTCACTCTTACAGCAAGTGAAGGTGACTGAGAGGTACATAAGACGATTGGAGTTTCACCTCAGCAAGGTAAGGCCACTGTGATCTCTGACCCCATGACCTGTTCACATTAGTCAGTCAGTGAGTCAAGCAGTGAGTCAAGCAGTGAGTCAGGCAGTGAGTCAGTCAGTGTGAAATCTGACGTTACTCAGTGAATCTTGATCTAGTCTTTGGCTGTTTGTCAGAATCCTGCTTGGACCGGTCCTTCTCCTGTACTTGGGTATAGGGATCAAAGCAGATACAGGCAGACACCACAGTGTGGTTGGTACTTTGCTGCGTGTCTGCTGCTGCTAACTCACTGCATTTTATTCTTGAAAATCAGACATTAGAGCCACTCCACTGCACATGTCAAAGCTTATACATTGTGGTCAATATAGGCATAAGTCAGTATGTGTTTGAAAATGTGCTGTGCAGTCCAACTCTGTAACACAGACAATGCTACCTGACTGTCACCCTGACCACACTCAGTTTTGTACTGCTTATTTTAGCCTCTCTTTCCTCTGTATGGGAGAGAAAGATGAAGTGCTTAACTGTTGGTCCTCTTATTACAGATTGAGGAGCTATATGATGCTTACTGCCTGCAGAGGAGACTCAGGGATGGAGCTAACAAGATGGTGAAAGCATACACTGCCTCTCCAGGCAGTAAGGAGGCAAGGGAGAGCTTAACAGAAGCCAACAAAGGCTACAAAGAGTACACTGAGGTAAGACAAAGGACAAAGAACTGGGGTGTGTGAACATAGTATTAAAGTCGGTGAGAGAAAAACTGGAAATGAATAGTAATCATTGTGGGAGAGAGGGTATTTAATAAGGATGATGAATATTCAGCTCTGTAGTTGAGGCCTGTTATTTAGAATTAATGAAAATTTGTCCTAATCCTGTCTGTAGAACATGTGTGTGTTGGAGAGTGAGTTGGAGAACCAGCTGGGGGAGTTCCACATTAAGATGAAAGGTAAGAATGTAACATTCACAGCAAGCTAACCCACTGCACTGAATTCGGTGCAAATCTCATGCATAGTACCGTAATAAGTATATTATTAGTATATTTGACACAGATCTGCCTGCATCACTACCAGGACCCTAGTCTAGTTATGTTTTGATTTTATTATCTAATATCACTGTAAATAATTGTTTTGGTTTGGGTTTTTATATCACATAATGATAATATGTTTGAGTCTATGAGAAACCTGTACATACAGAAGCTGTCTCTGTCTTTCAGGTCTAGCTGGATTTGCCAGATTGTGTGCTGGTGACCAGTATGAAGTGAGTGTCTGTCTCTCTCTCTCTCTTTCTCTCTCATTCTTGCTTTGTCACTCTCTTGTTTCATTGTTTGTATGTGCTCAGTCTGTGTTTCACATGTGAAGTTGTTACACAGTGACAGAAGGTCCGAAAGGTTGAAAGGTTCCCTGGTGACCATGTAATCCATTCAAACTTTTAGTTGTGCCTTTGTTCACTGTCTGAATTGATGACATGATTGATCTCAATGTCTCCATTTTGTATAACTGAATCATCAGCATTAGTTTTGTTGATATTTGGCGAGTTTTCAACGTGTGTGTGTGTGTGTGTCAGATCTTTATGAGGTATGGTCGGCAGCGGTGGAAGCTCCGAGGCAGAATAGAGATCAATGCCAAACAAGTGTGGGACAGTGAAGAGATGGTGTTTCTGCCACTCATCAGTGACTTCCTCTCTGTGAAGGTCAGTCCCTCTCGACATCTTCTGCCTGTCTCTTACTGGTTTTATTTTCCTTTGCACTTAGTTCTTATAGGTCAATGAAAGCAGTATGATCTGGAATACACATAATATGAAATCAAAATTGCCCATGCATTCTTCATTTGTCCTTGTGTTTCTTTGTGATAGTAAATATGTATGTAGAACGATTCTGTTGTCCCTAGTTGGTGCTCTCTGTTTGCATTCTTTGTACTCATCTAAGATTAAATGAAAAAAATATATTTCTGTGGTCTCCTAGGTGACAGAGCTGAAGAGCTTAGCCAATCACGTGGTTGTAGGAAGTGTTTCCTGTGAGACTAAGGATCTGTTTGCTGCACTGCCCCAGACAGTTGCTGTGGATATTAATGACCTTGGAACTGTTAAGCTGAGCCTGGAAGTCACCTGGAAGTAAGTTTTTCAAACTGAGCTGTCAGAGTACTGTTTGTTTGTTAATTTAATTTGTGTTGTTAATTATCAGAACATCACTTATATATTAAATGGAGTATGTATTTATTATACCCCCCCTTCTGTCAGTCCATTTGATAAAGATGATCAGGGGTCAATGGCGAGCACTGTCAACAAAGCCCCAACGGTCAATAAGAGATTCTCAACAATCTTCAACCAGAGTCCACCTGACACGCCGTCCTTACGTGAACAAGCCTTTTATGTGAGTTCTCCCATATTTCTTTCTTCTTCCCTGTAATGTTTGACTAAGTGGTCTGAGGAGTGATACTAGGAAATTGGTCTTAAAGTTGCTCATTGCTAGTGTTTTGTGCTGATATCCACTACTACCCTTATATATGACATTTTAATGAATAAAACATCCAATTGAGAGAGGTGTAGACAACTGAGAAATTATCAGGCTATGCAAAGTAAGCTAAGTTATAGATCTTAGGTAGCCGATGTAAACTGACATGGAAGAAGCAAACATTTCTTTTCCATACCAAAGAATTTATAATTCTGGAAATGACTGTACACACATGGACAACAGGAGAGTTTAGACACTGTGGAGTGTGTTAAGGCAATAACCACTGGCCCCTAACCAGCTCTATTGATCTTAATTCCACCTATTGCTACCCTGACATCCAGTCTCTGCCTCGGAGTCTGATGAGGCCGCAGCACTGGCCGCTGTTGGACATCTTCAGAGAAACACTTAGCCAGAGCTGTTCCTGTAGTGATAAGTCACCAACAAGACAGCCCACTGCAGTAAGTCTCCATGGAGTAGAACCCAGCAGATTGTAGAAATGTAGATCCCATTGGCGTATTGACTAGTGGCAGTAATGATGGTGTAGTACATTATGAACCTAGAACAGTATTCTCTATTTGTTTGTTAAGGACCTCATGGAGCCATGAGGTATGAACAATATGCAAAGGTTTCAAAAAAGCAATGCAGGCAGCTTTTTTAAGTGACTGTCAGCTCGGCTCCAGTTTGAGAGCAGGAACTGAAACCCTGCTGCTGTAATGCTTGATCAAACTGAAGCTCTGCTCATACATGACTCTTCTCTGGCCAATGGAGCAATTGGAGCCCCCCTGGAGGACTGAGACTCCTTTTATCACGTCATTACTGACATCATGCTGTTCTCAGTTGCTTTTTAAACTCCAAGCAAACTATCTAAAGTTTAGAAAATCTGCTGGTTTGTATCTGCTGCTGCTGCCATGTTCTCAGATCTTAACAGATACTTTGGTGAGTGTAAAGTTATTAACCTTGAGAGGCTGCTGGATTTTTTTTACCAACCTACAAATTATTTTATATTATAATTAATTGTGGCAGAACCAAAGTGGTTCAGACTAATGACTGTGTATAAAGATGGACGACATGACAGCCTCAAATATAAGGCCAAAACATCTAAATCGCAATGCAATGTTGCAATCACCACACATGAAAATAGCAGTAGTTCTTTGCAGAATGACAAAATGTACGCTTGAGAGAGGAGTTCACAGCCTCCTTACAAACCTATGTACGCTGCTCAATGTGATCCTGAATGGCATGGTCTTAAAAGTTACTATAGACACCTTTTGATATTCTCATTGAAATGCAGTAGTCAGATGCTGTTAGTCTATCTCTTTAGCCCTTTGTTTGAAGCACACTTGGGCCTTGTGTGATACTGTTTTGAGAAGTATGATGTCTTCTGGTGAGGGCAAAACCGTAAGATAACATAATGATTTGTGCAGTGGTGCGGGTCACTATAGGTCCCTTTAAGATTTAATGGCCAGTTTAAATCTAACTTGCGGTCATTTTCAGAGGTCACTTTTGATATACTGTGAATTAAATGTTCCCATTTAACCATCTTTGCTTGTGATGATTTCTGATATACCCACATTGTTCTATCCAGTGAAAATACTCAAGAAGGTCGAAGTTAGTGAACTGTCACTAAACCTGCAGTGGGGTGTCAGCTGGTGTTAGCTTGCTAGCTGCTTGTCTGTTGAAGATGCCTCGTTGTAGAATGGAAGTCTTCCTGCAGTCTTACTGTGAGGTTTCGAGGCTGGATTCTATCGGGCCTGCACAACGACCTTGGCTCACTGACCATGTTCAGTAATCTGACAGGCATAGACACGGCCTAAAAGTAGTGTGAAGATGGAAAAGCATTTGCTGGATTAGAAGTAGGTACAGCATATACATCCTTCAGTCACTTATATCCTCCAACAACCTTTTGTTTGCCACCTGGAAGACAATGTTGACATAGGTGAATTTGGCATCTGAATGTTTTCACCTCTGTAATCAATCCTGTTTGTTCACTTACAACAGTTTCTTCATTTTGTCCAGCCTTTTAAACAGCACTTCCTCTGTTTTAGAACATGCTGCGTCGTCATGAAGAGTTAGAGAATGGAACAGCGTGGTCAAATTCTTCTGAATCCTCTGACGATTCTTCTAGTCCTCAGCTATCTGTAGGAGGTCCACGCAACTCGACACATCATAAGGTAACACACAACAAACTGAAGCCAGACTCAACAAAAACAACACAACACACAATGTGCCAGTCCTGTAGCATGCATCAAAAATGTAACCTCAACTTTAATGTCATTTGCATTTTTCAGAGTGATGTTTTAGGTCAAAGCAGCAAACAGGGGAAGTAATAAAATACATTACTTACACCACATCCAGCTAGCCCACTCTGTTTTTTCAGGAGGGAGCAGCCTTGAGTGTAAGCTCATCCTCATCACTTTCTGCTGAATCTGTAAATCAAGTCGGCTGCTTTATCCTCGTTTTTTCTATTGGGGGTGTTTTTGCAAAGAAATCACTGGATTTGCCGAAGTTCATCTGAAGTCTTGCAGCAGAAGTAAGTCTGTGAAGGCGGATGAACCTGAGATGGCGTTGAGGGTCGACCAGTCAAATTAGATTTAAAAAAAACGTAAATCAATACCTATTGCCTGTTAATAGAAGGGAGACTTTAAGATCCCACATTCACATGCACTTGGCCGGTGCCCCAGTATATGTATTTAGACAGAAATTAACCGAATACAATTTGAAAACTTGTATTGAATGCTCACAGGCTCTCACGGTCCACCAGCAGCATTGTACAAGTAAACTATTATTATCTAATTAAATTCTGTTTAACATTTTTACACAGGCTTTTTTGTCTCAGGGTGTTGGATGGGGGGCCCCAGTGCCCATTATTAACCAGCCACCACTGTTGTATGTATGATTGTATGTACGTACGTGTTTGTTTGTGTGTGTAACAGCATTCTTTCACTTTTATATGAATCAGATTCAATCAACTACTTAATGATAGTCCTCCTCTGAAGTGCTTTAAAGATTATTAACATTTTTAGTAACATTAACCTTTTTTTCGTCATTATAGTTAGTTGTTTGTTATGTTATGTTATATTTATCAGTCACAGCCGCTCAACCTAAAGTTTTTTCTTCTCCCCGGAATATTGTCCCTTTTATGTTGAAACTGTTGAGGGTGCAACTGGTGGGAGACTGATATTAGAAAGTTTACATATTCAAGCTAAAGATACTTCTTCATTTATGAAATCCTTATCACAGATGTAGCCAGATTCACTTCTGAAAGGCATGTTTTTTCCTAATTACATAAAATGTATAGACAATTTATTTCGCAGGGCAAATCTAAGAGTTAGAACAGGAACCGACTCTGAAGGGAGAAAGTGGTGTTGAGAGCTCAAACATATAGATCATCCTACTGGGCGGGACAACTACAATACGTGTGCATATGGGAGTGGGTAAATCTAGTTAGTGCGCAGAGTAGTGCAGTCTTCTGAAGAGTAAATATCCACCACAGTTCTCACTATCCCTGAAAAATTCAACATTGTATTTGCTTTCATATGTTATTCAAAAGATAAAGTGTTGATCTCATCTCATTAATGCTTCTCATCATTATCACGTCACTTTACAGCCTCACCCTCTGTAACATGTGACCTCGACACAGTTAACATTCTGAACAGATGACTGGATTCTGCTCACTTTCTCAATTTCCCAGTATAAACTATAATAACAATTATAACATCAGTCGATCTTACCTGACCTCTCCATACTATTTAGAATTAAGTTTAGAGACAATGCTGAACCAGAACTCTTGGTTTAATACTCAACACTTATTGTTTAAAAAGCAAGGACGAAGTCTCCTTGGGTAAGATACTCAACCCCAAACATGCTGCATGTAGATGCACTGTATGAATGTTCTTGATAAATGGCAAACACTGTATACTGTAAGGTGCTTTGAGTGGTCATCAAGACTAGAAAAGCACTATATAAATACAGACCATTTACCATGTATAATCTTTTCACAGTAGAACCCAGTTGGTTTCTTTACTGCAATGTTGTGTTGCATCTCCTGGTGACTCCATGGGTTCATGTCTCTCTGGCTCTCTAGGCAGTGGTGGTGACACCAGAGATTCAGCCAACTGTAACAGGAAGATCCTCTCCACAGCCTGACATCTCATTTAGCCTCAGAGACTCTTCCTCACAAACTCCAAAATCCACCCATATGGTATGCTCCGTCAGTGAGGTTCCGAACAACAGCCGACACCAAACAGAGAGCAACAGGTAGTGTTCACTTTGAAGATTTCATTTCAATTCCATTCTACACACAGGCATATAGTGTGTTCTATGAATAACTGAACTGATTTATGAACTCATTCACAGAGAAGAGGACAAGGGGACAGCCTCTGTGATGACAAAACCTGACAGTGAGGAAGAGGATGCAGGGAAACAGTCTCCCACTGCAACAGTGGATGGAGTGGTGACTGATAGCCACACCTCACGCAGCTACTTGCGCTCTCTAAGCCACATTAGTGAAAGCAGTGCTGATGGTATTGTGTTAACGGACAGGTCAGCTGGGGAATCAGGGGAGGAGATTTCTTTGGCCTCTGGGATCTCCATCAATGACATTGAAATGGAGCTGGCTAGCAGAACTCCTGAGTTACCTAGCTCTGCTGCCACAGACACTGACACGTCATCGAGGAGGCTTGATGTCGTCGAAGAAAACACAACAGTTAAGGGTGTCACAGATCAACATCCAATCAGGTCGCCACAGAATACATCCAGCTCTGTCCTCACATCCTCCTCCTCCGGGACTGAAGGAATAAACTCTAACCCTCCATCACAAATGAACACACTCCCACACCAGGAGTGCAACATAGTCCCAGAGAGCAGGGATGTGACATATGTAGCTCAGCGGGTGTCGGTGGAGGAGGAGATGCCAAGTGCAGATGCCGATTGTCTGTCCAGAGTGGGTGACGGTGATGGTCCAGTGGACTGTGGGCTGGAGGATGCCCTGGCAGTTGTAGTTTCCTCTCTGGATGATTACAGGGGACAGTTCCCTGAGTTACAACTACTGGAGCAAGAACTGAGGCTGCTGCAGGTTACACTGAAGGTGAGGACAGAACATGTGCGCCAAACAAGAGATGGTACTTCCAGAGTTAGAGTAACTTAAACTGCATTGAGGTAATAGTACCGTGACTTATCAAAATAAGCACATGGAATGTGTGTCATCAAGAAAAAAATGCAGGTACCCTACAGTCAGTTGTCTTTTGTCTTATGTATAATTTTTGCTACATAAAGAGCAGGATATTTCCAGTCCATATCCCTAAAGTGACATCACAAAATTCTAGAAATACACACAGACAAACACAAATATATGTATACATCTATTTTTACATGTACCCTGGGTGTCCTGTGTTGTTGTGTTTCAAATCAAGGTAGATGTCTGCAGTGTGTGACTGTGCATGCTCTGTAGGTGTTCTCTTTAAGATCCATTGTGTGTGTGTGTGTGTGACATACTGTATGTATATTGTATCTGTGCTCTGTTCTTTTTACATCTTAAGACATAGCTGTCTACTGATACACAATCTAAATATGGTGTGTGTCTGTGTTGTCAGGGTGGAAGGCACAGTCGTTCACCCAGTGTGGTCAGCCTCACAGTGGAAACGGCCCTGGGCAGCTTTGATTTCCTCAACATGTCTGACTGGGAAGAAGATGAGGAGGAAAGGGGTGACAAGAGGAACAGAAATGGCAGGTCAGTGCTGCTCAATGAACTATTACTGAAACACAACAATCAACCTTCTCATGAGCACAAATTCTGACAAAAACATATATTACATACATTAGATTAGTTTAAGGCCTCCTCCTTTGTCAAATAAATAACATAATAAACAACCTTATCATTGTACAACTTTATTTGTTGAAGAATCTCAGTCATTGCAGGATCTTGCTGCCATCTAGTGGAGCTCTAGGGTACTATCACTGTCACTCAGCACAGATGTGTTCAGATCATTGGTATGTGCAGCTGTAATGTCAAAAAAAAAACCTCACGCACTTTCAAACCTTTCACACAATATCATAACCACCTTGAAATATGAATTTTTCTTTTTCAATATCACAAACCCTTTGCCATTATTTATACACCTTGCATTGATGACATTCAACAATAGCAATGGAAACTAAAAAAGACTAAGACTGCATTCAGATGCTCTGCTCTTACTGTACTCATGCACAGTGGTGCTTAATCAAAGTACAAATTTACCCTGACGATGGTACTTGAGGAAAGGCTGAGGGTTCAGTTCATCATGAGGAGAACACGAATGTATGAATCAAAATTTGTAACAGTCCATCTTATGGAAGTTGAAATATTAAATGTCAATGTCATAGTGGCAAGGGTAAAGTTCTTTGGTGACCATCACACAGAAGTGTAAGATATCATCTTCATCTAGCATTGTGTGAACAGGTGCACATCAACTGAAGCAAGCTGAACTGATATGTCTGAATTTAACTGTAACCACTTCCTATTACACACTGAAAAGCCTTGTTCGTGTGTGTGTGTGTGTGTGTGTGTGTGTGTGTGTGTGTCTGTGTCTGTGTGTGTGTGTGTGTCTGTGTGTGTGTGTGTCAGTAGGTCTCTGCAGGACAGAGGCTGGGACAGCCCCTCCTCCCCCACCCTCCCCCTTACTACAGGCTGCACCACTCTAGACTGCTCCCTGGTGGTCCACTTGAAGAACTGCAATGCACAGTTGCTGGTAAGAGAGTCAAGAAAATCGTTAATGAAAATCTAAATTATAAATGTATGTCATCCGATGTTCTACTGGTTATATGTAGTGTTTGTGAATTTTACTCCTGCTATCACTAACAAATAGTGCTTCAATTAGCACTAACAGCTATAGCAGTCGTATCAGTCGTCATGTAATGATGCTTTTAACAAATCGTGCTAGTAATAGATTTAGGAGGAAAACAAATGATAAGATCAGCTAGCTTTTTGAAAAACCTGTTGCACGATCACATTAGTATGAAGTGGAGCACAGAGGACCTCATTACCGTTTTAGAAATGTTTACTGTTGTTTGACAGATGGTTATATGTCATGTGCTAATTGATACATGGCACTGTGTGTGTAGCGTCTGGGTATGTTTGGGCCTCTGCGCTGTGGAGAAATGTACGCCTTAGACAGACTGCTGAGAGAGGCTCGAGTGCTTGAAAACATCCGACGTATCACTAGGGACAACCCGAGACGCCTCAGACAGCCCGATGAAGGTAAGCACTAACTAGTATCTGTACACACGTGTGGGTTCATCTGTCTGTGTGTCTGCCATCACTTTCACATGCACAGGTACAAAACCATAGACAGTGCGTGACAAATAGTAAATGATGGGAAGACTGAAGATTGAGATTGAACTGCCGACATTCTGGTTGGAGGACGACCGCTCTACCCCTCAGCCACAGCCAAAACATAGAAACATTTACCTTGGCGGTTTGATCAAGTGTTGCCCTGTGACATTCAAAAATGAACCAACTACACATTTAATTCAGTTCACCTTCTTCAACAAGCTGCTTGATGACAAAGGCACAGTGACTCATTTCCTCAAGTACAGTCAGTGCTTGCAGCTTGCTATTTAATAAAGTGAACCTGGTAGAATCTCAGCTAGTGATACATATACACCCCACTAACTACACTGCACAACTATAGGATCCAGGCATTCATAACATACAAAACCAAACCTGCATTGTCATTTATAGTTGTTATTTATTAACATGTGTATGTTCATCTGGACTTTCATAATAAAACACAACATGATAGACAATCATGCTGATTTTCGATAATAACCCAATCCTTGAACTAGTCTGGACTTGTGACGGGATATATTTTACGTATTATGACTCTTCTAAATGACATCATCTAAATTTGGTCACAAATGAGTGGTTTGTTTAATGGCAATTTACATGTCAAATACATTGGATTTAAATATTTTACAGGGTCATGCTAATGCATTTCTTGCGTAATCTGGATAAAATGTGATTACATTTGCAGAAGGGGAAAGGGTTTGTATAAATATTTATATGTTAGGAATGTCTCTGATGCTCTCAGTATACTTAGCCTGTCAGGTTTTAAAATGGCTTCTGAAAACTCCTCCCACCACCATATTGATATAATACTCATGTACTGCTCTATATAAGACATATGATTGTTTTAAATGTTCTACTTCAGGAGTGTGAAATGTTAGTAGTTGGTAGTTGTTAAGCAAGAGTTGTCTTCTCTGTGAGTATTGCTCAATCTTTAAATCAAAACAACACAATTATTGTGTGAAATATTGTGATAATTACTGATATGTTTTTTATCATTGAGACATTTAGGCCACATCGCCCTTCCCCAGGTTGAATTGTTTTTACTCCCTTACTTATTATTGGTGTAATTAGAGGAAAAAATAGGGTAAGATCAGCCACTTTTTACATTTGATGATTTTAGTGTAAAACAGAAGTGTATTTGTTTCAAACAATAGTTACTATCTATACCTCAGGTTGATATCTAATTATTATAGTTTCAGAACAATGACCCATTCAGAAAGGTTTGTCCTTTGGCACAAGTAACCCCAAGGTGGGGGTAATATGATCATAGTAAATGTAGGGTACATTGAACCCTCTATAGGTAAAATTATGCCACCATTAAAAACTGAGATAAATGACACAAAATCCATGCCATCAATCAAACAAAGACAAAAACCTACAAACCATATATTTTACTGTTGTTCAACATGTTTCTCAAACATTTAGGAAAGGAATAAACTGTGATCTTTGTGTGTTAGCTACAGAAAGAATGTAAGTGTACGTGTACTTATTGTACATACAGCATGTTTGTGTGACTTAACAATAGTCAATAAGGTATTTATTACATTGAGCAGCAACATTGTAACACTCAGTGATCAAACATCAACATGAACTTGTAACAGTGACACAAAGAGTTTGTGTATGTGTATGTATGCATGTCTATGTATGTGTGTGTGCACAAGTGCATGTGTGTGTATGTGTGCAGTGAACAATGACTGAGCATTAGCTTAATTTACCCCACATCACTGGCTCCTTTTACCCCACCGCCACCATTTTGATAAAACTGTTTCACAAAATAGCTCAGATCAGTTGTGTAATGTTTATTACCTTGTTTTGTAACTTACAGTGACTTAAATAACATGAAGTAATGTCAAAAACATATCTATTTTAATTAAGATAAAATACTGATAACTTAAGTAACGTGGTGAGTTTATTTTTTTGTGCTTGCCACTCTCCCCATGTGCTTGATTCAGAGATGGGATGAGTAATGTTGACTACACTTCCTTAATGCTGTTTTTTTATTTTTTTTTTATGGTTACCTAGATACAGGGGGTTGCTCATCTAACCCACTGGCTCAACTTACCCCGTTCTCCCTACAACATGCAGTCATTCACTGAAGTATTAGTCTCGGGTTGCATATGTTCCAGTGGGGAAAAGCACTAATACATATCCTTTAACTTTTCCTCCCTCTCTACTCTCTTACCTTCTTTCTATCACAGTAATACCTCAGTTAGGCCTGTGCCTGGGTGCTGTGTCACTATGGCAACAGTGTGTGGGGCAGGGCAGCATGTACATGGTCTCTGCTGAGGACTTCCTGGTTACGTTGTCTACAGCCTTCTCCAGCATACTGCCTGAGAGGGTCTGCAGCATATCTGACAAAGGTACAACAACTGTGTGTGCATGTGTGTGTGCATGCGTACATGTGTGTGCATGCTCACAGCACAAGTCAGAGTAGGTGGCATGTGATTGAGGTTGTTTCCTATCTTTATTCAAGAGCGGGGTCTTTCAGTTCGAGCACATGAGTTGCAAGCAGCCAGAGTGCAGAGAAGGGCTGAAGCTGGAGAGCAGGAAATCAGTGCGAGCAACAATATATCTGAGTGCAAGCACACAGTTTGAGCAGAAGCAGAGCAAATTTAAGTGCAAACGGGCTATATTATTGCAAGGGCAGGGTTTTGATGAGAAGTAATACACTATCTGAACGTAAATTCAACAGGTCATGCGCTCGAACTGAAAGACCACGCTCTTGATTAAAGGTAGGAAAAAAAACTCCACATCATGTTAACACATTTGTGTTTGTCTAGTGTTCCTGTGTCTGACTGAGCGAGTGCTGGATCAGAGGTTACCACGGCGAGGCAGCAGCAGAGATGGAGTGATGGTGACGTTGTTCCAGCTCTGGAGTTACGTAGAGGCTAATGGCATCAGTGACATGGAAATACACATCACTGAGCTAGCAGAAGAGGGTACCTGACACAAACACACACACAAACACAAACAGAAAGGTAAACGACTGCAGGAAACATACCTTCTGATTGAATGGCAGTAATCATGGATAACCTTCCTCTGCTAGTGTGGTTGGTGCAGAGGCTGGCATCAGCTGACCTGGATGTGATCGTTCAAACTCTGCGGCGTCCTGCAGAGTGTAGCTTGAGGAGAGAAGGACTTCATGCTGTAGCCAAGTTACTGAAAGACCCACGAGGCAAAGTGTCAGCGTCTGCCAGCTCTGTACTGAGAAGCCTGGCAGCCCAGCCCAGACAGAGAGAGCAGGTGAGAGGACACTGCACAAAGTGTGTGTTTTGTGTATATGCACTACTTGTTTCAGTGTTGGTTTAAAAAACACTTACACTACTATGGGTATTTAAGAGCTCAACTGTAAATTTAATCACTGAATGGCCTTTTTCTCGAGATTTACCGTGAAATGTTAAAACTCTTTGTTTATCTACATGATTCTTATAACTTTAAGCCTATAACCTCATGTTGATGTTTCTGTATTTAAATATTTTACTGACACCATTGTGGAAGGCCATCTTCAACCAGGGTATGTTGATAGTGTAACATTAGCGTAATTATTACTATAGTATTATTTGGCTGGTCTGCCATCCTGCATATACAGCCATACTGTTGTCCTGTGAGATGAACACCTTAAACGTAAGTGTAAAAAGTGTACCGCAGCAGCCTCACACTGGACGTATTAACGACATCACACTGCGAATGTCCTCCCCCTCAGGCCTTGGTCAGCTGTCTGGAGCTGCTGGAGGATGAGAAAGTGGACACCAGAGTGTGTGGATGCAAGGCCTTAGCTTGTCTGAAGGTAGAGAGTTTGTGCTTTTATCCAAACCATATCTCGATTTTAGGACAATGTTGATCCAGTTTATGGCACAAAAGTGGGAAACAACTGTCATAAAATCATGTGTGTGCAGCTTGTTCATACTGTGTAATACAGTAGGTATTTTTCAAATGACCACTCCATTCCATCTGTTGTTATTGCAGGCTAAAGAAAGTATCGACCAGTTAGTGTATCTTTGTCGGACAGACAAGGAGGAAGTCCGAGATGCTGCCAAACAAACGCTGCTCGTCCTTGGTAATAACCATCAGATTTGTCTGCTTTACTAGAATGCATATAGACACTACATTGTTAATAATGAAAGCAAATTCAATACATGCATGTTAGTGAAATAATTTTTCCAACTGCCAACTTCATGATCGGTACTGTGGATATTAAAGTTTTAGTTAAATTGTGTACTTTGGGACTTTGATATCTAATAGTTGTTAAACAACAAAAGGAATCGGTTCTAAAACAAACTGGGAGCCAGTGTAGTGATGCTAAGTTGTAAAGAATATGTTTGTTAGCTTATCAGCATGGTTTTGATTTAAGCTGCAATCTAAGTAAACACTGAGATATGTAGTGTATGAATGATTTATGAAGCTGTCTCACCCAAATGTTCTCATAACTGGCAGTAGTGGTGATCACAAAGAGCTTTGTTGAGACATAATTAAATGAAATGATGTGGGTTGAGTGAGTTCTTATTTAAATGTATTTTTATATTCCTGTACATGATGCAAATACTGTTTCTTATGTATATAATTATTGTAAGCATGGTGACTATAATAATTCTTTTTGGTACTTTTTTCATTTCCATTCACATTTTTATTCCATTTACTCACACGTTTGTGACATAAGACAGTAACTAAGAAAGAAACAAGAAACGTATATCTTTCTTGTTTTCTCTTTTCCCAACACAGATCTTTTGAGAGGATTCACTCATTCTTTCATTTGTCCATTCTTTTATTCACTTTTTCCATTTTTTTTGTTGTCATTCATCCTGTGGAGCAGGGGAGGAGGGGAAGATGGCCCACAGACATGTGGAGACGTCTCAGGACAGTATACCAAGACTCTTCGCTCCAGGAAGCATGGCCAGCACAGCATTCTAACACACACACACACACACACACACACACACACACACACACACACACACACACACACACGCACACACACACATCTACCCCATTACTAACACTGAAAGATCAAAAGACAAATATACTATGATATACAGTATATACACTGACAGAGAATCATATTCACATCAAGAATGACACCTCTGCTTAACACTGGGCAAAGATTTAAGTAAGCTACAAATACACCACTGTATTGTATATCAGCCTGTGATATACTCTAAGAAGATTGGTTAGACTGTAAAGATGCTGGGATGAATGAATAGTGTTGACAGGAGGGATGAATGAAGAGAGGAGCAGAAGAATGAAATTCAGATTACTGGTCTTTCCACCACAGTAATGTTCATGGTCCAGACACATATATACTCTTTTGAAATATGTCAAGAAAGGAAAACTTTAGAAAGCTTTACAGGATAATTACTGTTTTCACAGCCTTCAAATGCCAAAATAACTTTTTAGTTTCTTATGATTTGTGATATCAATGTTTTATTTCTCCCGCTTTCTGGATCACAGCTTTTGATTGGTTACATGGTAAACCAGCAGGCATACACAGAATAAATATTCCATTCTTGCTCTTCATTATACTACTTTAAGCCTAAACTGCCATGTTTACTTAAGACCTCAAGGCTGTTTGTACTGTGCTGCTCCAGATGAACAGTTTCTTCTGTTACATGTCTGCAAACTCAACATTAAAGACGCTAAAAGGCTTTCCCATACAGGTCTGCCTAAACTGCAGCCACCGGCTCTACTTATGCTTGTTGATCAAGTTTTGCCAGATGGCTGTGAAGACCTATCTGGCTGTAATCAAGATCACTTAAGACCACTTCAGTCTAACAATGTGCAGGTTTTGAGACAGAGTCAAGAGACTGAGTCCAAATATAGCTAAATTAAAATCTAATTTAGTATATAGTAAGCTTTTAACTGGTGGGTATAAACCTAGTTGTCTAAAAAAGGGACACTTGGTTGTTTTGTGGAAAAAACACGATGGAACAAAAAATTGTGTCAGTGACGTTGTAGAGCAGTTAAGGTGGCAGCAGACATATAGGCTGCTGTGTGGCAAGAACAGTCAAAACACATCCAAGACTGAGAAACAGCTGGGAGCATGTTTCAAGATCACTTCTACAGCCTTGACTTGCAACATTGTTCAGAGGAAATCATCGTCCCCAAACTTGATCATCAGTGTATATAAATTGTGACTATAAATGTTTAATTTTATTCTCAAAACACAGACATGGACCGAAGGTCCACAGGGACAAAAACATCTCTATGGAGAGTTGGATTCAGATACAGTTACTGGTTGCTGTAATTTGTCTCTCTGTCTGTTATGGCTGTGGCATCGCTGCACTTAAACAAACCAGTTTGCTTAACATATTGTGTCACTTACTGTTCTGAACGGCCTCACCCATAGGAGGAGACTAAAACACATTGCTACAGCATCCTCCTGTCTGAATCCCACTACCTCCATAACCCCACTCTAAGAACTATGTTCTGCTGTGTGTCTGTCTCGGCACGGTAAAAAGTAGAAAAAGGGATACTCGTGCTCTCTTTCAGTCATACAGAAAGTCACGGACAAATGTGTGTGAACAAGGAGAGGTGGACTGAATGAACTCAAACCCTGCTTACTTCCACTCATCCTCGAACCTGGCTGGTCACTGCATAAAGGTGGTGTGATGGGTTGTCAGTGGCTACGGTGGACTCAGACGATGAGGCACTTTGTGAGGCACACTGAGGCCCCAAGAGATACAAACGTCCAGTCCTTGTGCAAAAATACATGCCTCAGTGAACATGAGGTCAGAAGCCTTCCCTCTGGTAGCACAGCAGAGACTTATTTTACTGCATCAAAAAAATATATAAAAAGCAGCAAGCAGCATGTTTCAACTAACACACTCACACAGATAATCCATGTCCCACATCTGCTAACACTGGCTTATTAACTGTGAATCGTCTTCCACTTCAGAAGATCAAAATTAAAGCTTTTTTATTCTCTGTATTATAGGCCTTCATGTTTAATGTTGCCAACATACTGGCAACAGATTAAGAAGAGAGTAACCCACACTGTAGTTCTGTATAAAGCTTGAGACTGTAGAAAACATGTTAGGTTGTTTCTGCACAAAGAATGGTTCAAACAATTCAGTGCCATTACTCCTTATAATTATCACACACCTTATTCTCAATGAAAATACATATGACTATATGCCACTGGGATTTAATATGTTCTGATGTAAATTGTTTTTATTTAGCAGCGTCTTCATTTGTAAATGTATACTTTGTGGTATGAGATGCTGTTTAAAATGATGATTCACATGAATTCACTGTCAGTGGCACTTCACTTTACCGCTGACGTATACCTGCTGTAAATGTGGCTGCAGTCGGTCCGGAGTCACTGTATTACTGCGACAGGCTGCTGTGGGTAATCTGTTGTTTGAGAAGGTAAAGATGGATCACTAAGAGAGGTTTATTCAAATCTGGTATGAGTTATGTTTAAAGTCAGGTCAATAACAGAGGACTTAAACAGTCATTCAATGATTGTTTAATGGTCATGCCAGTGTTTTTTTCTTATTTTTACAATTTACCACATATAACATACTAAAATCATTACAATGCTGCTAAACATTTTCACAGTAAAATACACTAGTCCCTGAAGACCCTGATTTATTATTGTAGAACTCAAAGTGATCACATATGTAATTTAATCGAGTAACTAATCTCTGCAGTTATGTACTGATGACTTCATAATTACTAGATAGGTCTCTCATATTTGTTAACAATGATCTCATTGTTGGGTGATATGTTGTCATTACAATGAGTTCTGAGATTATTTTTTGAATTGGTGTGACGGCTAAAGTTGGTTTCCATTCCAAAGAACACGTCTAGCTCACTCTTTAAGATTATTTTAATACATCAATACATACATAGTACTGAAGCACAGTATTGTCGTAATACACATCATGTCAGTAAAATAACAAAATGTAAACAGAGCAGATGTTAACTGACCCACAAGGGATAACCAAATAAAATTAGGTGAAGAATGTGGTTTTTGGTCAATGGTGAAAATAAAAAATACAGAATGCTATGTTTAGTAAATGGGTTAAAAATATAGATAGAAACATATTGATCTCATTATATAAACAGTGGTAATACATATTGAAGCATCATAAGTTATTTTTCTCATAGTCCAACAGGTTACCCACACTGAGTTTGACTTGTGAAAATGCCAAAATGTCCAGCCCTGTGGCTCCAGCTGTTCTGTTTCTTGTAATCCTCTTTCATTGGTTTCACAGTGGCTCTGCTGACAGTGATGCTGCCATTCTGCCTTTTCTTATTTCCTGAACACCGCTACTGTAAGGTCTTCTCAGAAAGACCACTGGTTATGTCATACTTCAGTGATAGTATATAGACGTGTCCTGGTTGCATACTGTGTACTAGTTCTATGATGTACAGCTGATATACTTATGTTGTCTGTGCATTGTTCTGGCAGTTAAAGATAAAGCAAGATATATTAAAGGCATTTATTTGTAGAGTTATTTCTAGTCCATTACTTTAATCCAGATCAAGTAAATGGTCAATGGATCCATGAAATCTTGTTTATTCTGATGAATTGTAATATCTCAGGTGACTCTCAATTTTCTTTTTTAGTGCCACCATGGGGTCAGTGTGATGTTTTCCACAGGAGCCACTTTGACATGTTGCTAAACCTTCATTAATGTGAGAATTAACATCTGTGTACCTACTGTTCATGTGAAAATGGCTGCTGCGGAAAAGGTCTATTGTTTTATGACCCAAACTAACTGTAAAACATAACCTTGTCAATAGCTCAAAGCTCCACTGTACAACTTTAGAGCCACTAGCTTACTCCCTGTTTTTCTGAGGTGCTGAGTTTTCATACCATGGAGCACAGCAGGGTTTTTGTTTCTTCTTTCTGTGTAACTAAAGACTAATTCTGACTGCTGAAAAGTTTTCAATGTAACTTCCATGTTCACCATGTTTTACATTCTATATGTTTCAAACAGGATCTAGATTCAGTGTAGTGTATGCAAACGGGACACGTCTTTGGCCTTCAAGCAGAAGGTTACGGTTCCTAATGTACAATGTGCCAAACCTGAGTTAGATTTCAGAAACACTGCAGTGTACAGGCATAACAAATCATGATGATGAAATCACCTTAACAGAGGATTAGGGACATGTCTTCAAATATGTATATCTGAGCTTGATGTCAGAATCCTCAGATTCCTGAATAGGTTTTAAATCATCTGAATTTGAAAAGAAAAAACTAATTCTAAATTCTGGCATTTCAGATTTCAATCTGTGTACGTCTATGAATATTGTTTTACATAGCCCTAATCCTCTTGTATGCAGTACAGATGCATATTTTTTTAAAGCAATAATGAATCCTTGTTTTGTTGTGTCCCTGAAAAGAACTGATATTCCTTTTTTATTTTCAGTCGTTAGAGGGAGGCTGATCAGACAGCTATCTGCTTGTATGTTATGCTTGGATGTTGACTATTTTAATACAACACATTACAAGCGACTGCAGTGTCACTAGAATGAATGGGAAGTCAGACTCAGTGTTTGTAAATATGATGGCTACCACTGCATGCAGTGTATTTACCACTATAAGTTTCTATAGGATAGCAGCAATCTGCAGCTATACCTCTGCATCCATAATGCACCTTGCAGTGTTTAAGTGCCTCAAGGTTTGACAATAGCAGAGATGTAAAATGATATAGATGAAAAATAAGATAGATCCTTTATTTAAGAATGAAGACAGTGTGAAGCATAAGAAAAACACTGGAGCACATATATATTTTTTCTTCCGCAAGCTTGTTTAATTGTGAAGCATTGGACTGGAAATGTTCTATTATTTTCTTTTTTCTAAAAAAAAAATGTTTCAAGGTATTCTGGTGTCGAATATATACAATCTATTAAACATGTGATCAAAAATAGTCTTGTGTGACTGTGTTCATTTTCAACTGTATCATGACCTGCTAACACATACACAACTAAAACTAATATTCTGGCTAAAATCTGCCTGGCACTCATTTTTCGCAGTGCAAGTCAGTTGTCTTAGATTGTGAGAGGCCACCAGCAAACAGAACACTTCCAAATTCAGTGAAGCTCCAATAGTAGCACAGCAGCCGTTAACAGCTGGCTGTCCTCACTGAGAAACAGTCATCTGTGCCCGTGTACCACTGAGAACAAAATATAATTCAAGATGGCATTCATGGCATTTAGGAAACTTTGGATGGCCTATGAAAGACAGACTGCTCAGCTCAGATATGCTGGATGTCGGCTCATATAAGTGTCGGACACAGGCTTGTAGATTCAAATAAATAAAATACCTTTCAAAACGCACTGACCAAAGATTCCTGTGGCCTTCAATCTTTGTCACGTGTTGCACTCTTACTGACAGATGTGACTTAAAGCTTCACAATAAATACGAACCATAAACCAAAATTATACTCCAATGCCATGACATATAACAGCTGCACTCGCTTCCTTTTGAACGTGTCGTTCGATTTGTTTGGTTTGAAAGAAACGGCCTTTCTCGTGAACTTCTTTTGTCGCTCTCCTTACTTTGGATGTGGTGAAAAGGAACATGTCCGAGGTCCGTGAAAGCAACCTCGTTCCCACCATTGTGACAAATGGTCTTCCATGTATTCCAACGGGGCGCCCCTCCTGGCCAATCAGGGTGTGTGCAGAGGCTTCGACACCACCCCCCAGCGGCCGCACAGGCGCACTGAGCTGCCAACTGCCATTTTGTGGCAGAGGCTACTCTGCTAAAGCGGGAGAGGGATTAAAACAAACTGCGAAGAAGCCTGCATTTCTCAGCAGCCTGTCAAACTTTGTAGCTGACACCCTGAGCCGGGGGCCTTGCTAACGGGGAAGAGAAACACACTAAAGACAGGTAAAGTACCACTACTTTTCTGATAAGGGGGAGTTTGCAGGATCTTTAATCGGCCTCTAGGTGTCACGATGGGGCTCTGGGTCCGGGCACTCGTCGGAGAGTGTTTGTCTCCCTCTATCGTTATTGAAAAAGCCGTCAAAATACGTTTAAATAACTGAAGTTCCAACAAATGCTTCCACAACCCGCTGATTTTCACACACATCTGTGGGAATATCGTCGAAAATAAGTTATGGGCACTTCGTCCATCTGGTGGGAGAGTTTAGGCCAAGGCGTCCATTTTCTCGCTTCTTTGTTTCCCGTCTTTACAGCCTTGACGACATGGAAACTGGCGGGTTTAAGTTATAGCCCACAGCTAACGTTAGCTTGTTTGAATTAGCATACGCAAAGTATTTTCCTAAGCACTTGTGTGCACGCGGGGACACAAATACACGACCCCCAGCACAGCCCTGCGCATCCAGCAGATGTTTCGTTGAGTTTTGCCACATGACGTTCTTCAACGAGACCTTTACTCGAAGACCCATGTAGCATCTGAAGCTAGCTAAGAGTGAACACGGCTAGCTCGGATTCGAGGCCCTTTCCCACCCAGGACCCTCGGTAAATGTTTACAAGTGGCGACAGCGGCGAGGTCTCCGGCAGTAACCGAGTCAGATATTTGATTTCGCAGATTCTGTTGCGGATGCATCAAACTCTTCGACAATATAAGTATAGGTAGCGAAGCATACACACGGAAATCGTACGGATTGGGCCAGCGAGGAAAAAAAAGGAATGACGAGGCATTGACAGCAAAGCGATCCTCGGTGATCCACTCAGACCAAACACACGATGTGTGCTCTCCAAACCCTGCCGTCTGCCATTATCGAGTATGTCACCCGTTTCTCTTGTCGCTGTGGTCGGGATTGTCAGCTGTTGTTGCACCCGTCGCCCGCTTGTCTCTTATTCTAAGCCCACCTAGAGCCTCATGGCCACAGATATATATTACAGCAGAGAGCTCCCTCTACGACTCGGCTTGGAGAGCTACAAAAACACCGCTACATAAACTCTGTGCGAGGAGGCGACAGTTGGCAGACTGGACACTGATCATCTTTACCATGTTATGGTAGATATGTTATACCAAATATCAAAAGAGCTATAAAGGCCTGTACCACAGCCTCTCTGGCTTGAACCAATTCAGCAATATTAAAATTTACTAAGTGTACAAAAAACTGAAGACAATCAGATGTTAGGCATGTGACCGTCTATGTCACTAATGTGTATATATAGAGTTTACATTAACAAGTTGTTTGTATTAAGTCCTTTCAAGGTGGAGTTTGTGTTTCTAACCCAATCCACTTTTTGTCAAATTCATGTAATAGCTCCCCATGGTCCTCTCATTGCCCTTTTTGTGGAAGTGATTTAAAAAGTCCAGTGTTCCTACATCTGTCGAGGTGGAAATAAACCAAGTGGCACGGAAATAGTCACACATTACTAACTCAGTAAATCTATAACAGGGCATTCGTGCTTGTGCACAGAAGAGAAGAAGGGAATGAGAGGGAAAGGAGACAGTATTGAGCACATGCTAACAGATGTCATTTTAAAGATTATCAGGGAAAGGGGCGGTCAGAAGAACTACATTTGAGAAACAAGGCACAAGAGCTACATCAGGCTGGGGAAGAAAATTAGCTTTAAACTAACTTACTGTAACTGAGCCCCATCCACAATGACAGGCATATAGAGCGTCATGTAAAATCTACTCATTGAATGAGCTCATAAAAGCTTTTCTTCTTTTTGTCATGGAATCAAAACTTTGCAAGATTATGTCATTTTCTTTTCAACACTGTATATAATGCCTGTGGTGAAGTTTGAGGATGTTTAAGATTATACATTTTGTTCTGCTTCAGCTATGAGAGACTCTCCACATCATTGTCCACCACTGTGTCATTGCCATGGTAAAAATGTGTCCGGGACTTTGTGAGGCTGAGCTTGTGAAAGGAAGAGTGTATTTTGTTGTTGACTTCAAATATCAACACAGTGTATCTCAAGAGTTGCTCACGCCACCTTTATCGTAAAAAGCCACCTCATCCAAACTGAGTCATGCTGCTGTAAGGGCTATACACTGATGAATCACACAAGCATAGGGTCATCTCTGTTTGAAAAATTATTGAAATTGTTTTACTCAGTCACCTATGCAGTTTTAAGATGTAGATGTAGACAATTCATTGATCAGAGTGGATGTGTGGATCAAACTGACCATAGTTTTTTTCTGCAGATACAACAAGAATGGCCACTAAGAATTTCTAGCTTTTGAAGAGTTAAGAAATCCTTTCTACGCCTCTGGTTATTCACATCTGCCTTACTAAACCAGTGGGGAAAAAGCTGCTTTAGACATTCAAGTTTGTGAATAATGAGAATGTCTAAATAAATCTGAGAACAAATAACATCAGCAGTGAGCTTATACATATCTTGTGGGAGTGTCTTGATCACTCTGGTTTCCTTTAGATACAAAGGGAGATCTCTCTCCATAGATGTTGAATCCATTGGGCACTATTCTGTATGCAGTGTGGGGAAGAATCCCTTCAACTGTCTGATAAATTAAAGTTAGACTGACACCCAAAGCAAACATTGAACCCTACCCTCCTTGTGAGTGTCCTTATGTTGAAGGATTCCACTCGTGACTTAACATCACTTGTTATCTCATCATAGTCATGATATTAAACTCAAAAGAACTCAGAACTAGAAGAATACAGAGGATAAGAATAATAATAAAAGGATAGAAGTAGTATTGACTCACTTCATATAAGAGTGAGTGTATCAGTGTGTTTTATATTACATACCCCATGGGGGTACAGACCATGTGTTGACATATTACCCAACCCCTATTGCAGGTTTACAGAAAAATAAATATATATATGTATTTGCATTGAACTCTTGTTTTGAAAAGATAAATTCTTAGTCAGGTACAATTCAGTAATGTAAGTGTTAAACTGGTCTGTAAAAAACTTTTCACTTCAGACCCATTTTACCCTAATACAGATGATGATAAAATCTGTTATAGGTCGTATGTATAGTGCAGATGTGTAACTCTACCTCTTCCCTCCCTTAGGTTGGCAGGGACAGTCAAGTTAGAGCCAAGCTCAGGGCAAGCAGCAAGGCAAATGGAACTTTCCAGTACAACAACCCCACAGACTGCAGCCCAGTGTACTGAAATCATGATAAATATCCATTTGTCCTTGGTATTTCAGGTAACACTTGTGGTGTTTAGTGCCAACAATGTGACAACACTGGCTTTTGAGAAATATGTCACACTTGGCATACACATTAGTGCAGACACAGCTTTTCAACCAAGCTGCTGGTCAGACATCAGTAACTCTACTTCCATGAGAAGATTGAGAATGAGATTTGAGGCAGCTGAATGTGAACTAAGTTCTGTTGGCCAATTCACAGTTGGTGGATTCAGTATTATGTGAACTGAGGTATGTACAAAGGTTGTATTTGCAATGTAAATACTGACATGTATCACTTAAGCTAAGCGATTATTTGATGGTATTATATCACAGAATGGTGCTTTTTCAAATATCCATATAGTCTTGTATGTTTTTATCAATTTAGAGCAGAGGAAGATTTGGTTCGAATTAACTGTAAATCAAATTTCTATTCGTTTAATCTTGCTCAACACCAACATCAATTAGAAAGTGGAACCAGATCTGGACAATGTCCACACTAATATATTTTCATCTTTAAATGATCACGAGTTTAAGCTCAATATCATAATTAACCTTATATACTAACACACCTGAAATCCTAATTTGGTATAAACAGGAAATGGATAGTCTACTCTGTAGTTGGTTGCTTGGTTAAAGTAAATGCTGAACAAGGAACAGCAATGATGAAAAGTAGGGCACAGCTGATACTGACAGAAAGCTTTAGCAAAGCTTTGCATTCATAGCAGAATTTCTGTCTGTCTTCATTGTCCCTTTCAAATAAAGACAAAAAATGTCTAAGGAAATAACTAAGAAGCTGGTGTGTTATGCAACACACTGCTTGATGATGATTTTTCCACGATCTCATATTTCAGAACCAACCCAGCATGGATGCAGGGCCATCAGAGAGTGTAGGGGTGGTGGAGGTCCACAACCAGGACGCCATGGTTGCTGACCTCCTCCAGCAAGCTGCAGAAGCCGGGGGCGTGGTAGAGGGACAAGCTGGAGTCATCCTTGAACAAGGTTCTTACAAGTTGGGCATGATATTATTCTACAGTTTAGCTGTATAAAGAGCAGATCGTTTCATACATTTCTATTGCATGTTATCTTTGTTGAGAATGTGGTCAAATATTTTTTGACCCAGCAATGTTGTGTTTCAGGTCATGGGGAAGGAATGGTTGCAGCCACCCAGGCCCAGCAACAGCTAATGGAGGCCGGGGTTAGTGTAGACGGTGGAGAAGGTGTTGAAATGATGGTTATGGACTCACTGGATCCCACCCTGTTGCAGATGAAGACCGAGGTGAGTCACTGTTAATGAACTTCGTGTTTGATGTGACATAACAGTTGCCCAGTCTGACCTGAACAAGGATGTGGGCTTGTATCACAATAATTCATTTGCTCTGTTGTGACTCTTTTAGAAATTCAATCAGTTGGTTGTTAGGAAAGTGTGTGCTGTGTCTCAAAAATGTACACAACAGTCTATTAACATGAAGTTTACTTGCAGGTGATAGATGCTGCAGTGGGGGGGTCATCAGCTGGTTCAGCTCACCAAGCAACTGTTACAACAGTGGACCAGACTCAAATCATCACGCTACAGGTAGGTGCTCTTTTGAAACCACTTCTCATCATACCATCTCCAGCTTTTTCTGTGTGGTTTATGGAGACAATCTGCATTTACAAGCTGTCTGTAGACCATGAATTTGCATTTATCTTAATTGATTTCCTGCATATTGCACAGACATGAGAGCTGATCTCTGGTGTCTTTCTGTCCTCAGGTGGTTAACATGGAGGAGCAGGCAGCTTTGGGCCTCGGAGAGCTGCAGCTGGTCCAAGTGCCAGTTTCTGCCACCACTGTGGAGGCCCTGCAGCAAGGCACCTTTGTTGACACCACTGCAATGCCAAAGGATGGAGACCCAGTCATCTGCCACACCCTGCCGCTTCCTGAAGGCTTCCAGGTACACAAAAGCTGCTTTCAGATATCAATCCGATTGAGAGCCTCTGCATTATCTGCAGACTTTCTCCTCCTGGCCCCCTAGTATGAGTCCACATAAAGTCTGGAGAATCTGATAAGAGTGCACAGCAGGGGCTCCTTCCCTGGATTCACCGCGAGTGAGTGGGGGGTTTGATGATGCTTGTAACACTTGACAGACGCAAGAATGAAAAAAGAGAAGAACAAATATCTCTGGATGAAAAAGCCCAGTCAAACACGCAGAAGACACTGACAAAGATGCCGGAAAGTTTGTGATAAGAGCCAATGACAGTGTGCATTACTTCCTGCTGCACCCAACTGCACCACCTCTTGCCTGAATAATACAGAGGATTTGTTGCTGTTGTGAAAGTGTCTGTGCAGAGAACCTCAGACTTTGTTGTTGCATGTGTGAAAGGCAAACTACGGTTAAAGTCCACACCCAATTCTCCCGACTTTATCTGCAGGTCATGTCTGGAAACGGCTAAATGGACTCAGTCGTTGTTCAGTCTTTAAGTCGGACATCCAACACATATGCATGCTGGTCCCTGGGTTTTCTTTTTCCTGCTTTCAGTTCACTTGCTTGTAGTGGTGACAGATGACAAATTCAACTCATTTAGAAGCCCTTTTGCCTCTAGCATATTAAAGATAACTTTCACTGTTGGCCCCTTTGAACTCAAATAATAATTGTTCATTCATTGCAATGGCTGCTAATATTAGCATTCCTAATATGCTATCACTCTGTGCCCTCCAAGACAAGGCATTTGAGTAAAATGCAATGAAGGCTGTAAAGAAGGGTAGTGCTGCAACAGTGGCAATCTGAGGTGGACAAACACAATGGCCTAAATTTGATTGGCTTAATTTTATCTGATACCAACCCTGATCAGCCCTAATTCCATCCCTGAGCTTAACTAACAATGTCTCTAATATGCATTGGCTTCAGAAAGTTAACAGATCCTTTCACTTTGTCATTATGGGTTAATGAGTGTTGATTGTCAGGCAAAAATGGCACTTCCATCCATTTAAATTAAAAACTACACCGTCACAAATTGTGATGTTTTGCAAATAGGTGAATTGGCAGATTTTAATTCCTTTGGGAACATAACTTCTCCTTTAAGCTTCATTCTAGCAGCAGAAAACCTCACAAACAGGTCAGTAGTGATTAATTGACAAAACAATGGTTGTGTTTGATGTATAGGTAGTTAAGGTTGGTGCTAATGGGGAGGTGGAGACAGTGGAGCAGGAAGAGGAGGGAGGACAAGCCCACCCTGAGGAGGAAGATGAGGAGGTGGGGAACCAGCTGTTGGAAGAAGGGGAAGATGGGCCTATTCAGACTCCAAATGACCCAAACTGGGCTAAAGATCCAGACTATCAGCCTCCATCTGGAATGGTGAAAAAGACCAAAAAGGTAAGATTGGTTATTGTGAAGTGAGAGTCTATTGAATTGGACTTAACTAAAAATGTAATCCGCGGATGATGATGTTTAATTAGTTGCCGTTTTTCCAGGGAAAAAAGAGTCGTCTGCGTTATGCTGAAGGAGATAAGGATATGGATGTCAGTGTCTATGACTTTGAAGAAGAGCAGCAAGAGGGCCTTCTGTCTGAGGTCAACGCTGAGAAAGTGGTGGGCAACATGAAACCACCCAAACCTACAAAGATTAAAAAGAAAGGTGAGAAACAGCTGTCTGTTGGACACTGCCTCTGCAAACCTTTGATCATTAAATATTTTTTTAATGGAGCATTAGCTATCTTTGCACCTCATGGATTCTACTCATCACTTATCTGTCAACATAAGTAGCTCTTCTATAATCTGTGATGCAGTGGAGATACCACCAAAATTTGCTCTGTTCCCACTTTTTTACCTACAATGCACTGTAATCAATTTGTCTGCTTCTATATCAGTTTTTTCCCTTGATCGATGTGAGAATAAAGGCCAAAAATGTATGCTAATGCAACTTATAATGAATCACAATTAAACAATGACACCAACAAAAAAACATGTATAATTACTCATGTTAGCGTGTACTCCCCTTAAAATGGTTAATGTTATAATCTGTAACAAGGTTTATAATGAGGTTGAACAGTTGACATTGCTCTGCTCACCTGTGGTGCCCCCTCCTAATTTCCCTTTGGGGATGAATAAAGTAATCTATCTATCTGTCCATGGCCTTACTTGTGTGAAAAGTTAACAGATTTGTCATAGTTGAAGAGTAAGCCAGCTGACTTGTAATTAGACGACAAACAGCCTTATCTTTGTTTGTTACTTTACCGTCTACGGTGTAGAAGCTAAAATACCTGCTCACACTTGCATGCTGCTGCCGCCTTTAGAATGTCCTAGGGTGAACACTGTACCATACTTAAATGTATTACAGCAATGCATTATATTATGATGTGATTTATTATATTATTGATAATAAAGTCATTAATAGTTATTACTTACTTATACAGTTGTCATCAGGCAGTGGGATTTTGATTTTAACGTTTGTTGTATGTTTTGTGACAGGAGTGAAGAAGACATTTCAGTGTGAACTGTGCAGCTACACCTGCCCTCGGCGCTCCAACTTGGACAGACACATGAAGAGCCACACCGATGAGAGGCCCCATAAATGTCACTTGTGTGGAAGAGCCTTTAGGACGGTCACCTTGCTAAGAAACCATCTCAACACACACACCGGTATATACACTCGTCTTCATAAAAACATGTGCTTTGTTTTATTTGAAGAGGAAACATAAGAACAACTTGATGCAAGAACAACTTCAATGTTTCTTTTGAATTTATACAGGAACTCGGCCACACAAGTGCACAGACTGTGATATGGCTTTTGTGACTAGCGGAGAGCTGGTTCGTCATCGTCGCTACAAACACACACATGAGAAACCCTTCAAATGCTCCATGTGTGACTATGCCAGTGTGGAGGTAGGATGTGCTGCTGTCTGCTTGATGTTAAAGTTGTACAGAGTTTATAGATTGTTTCTGTTTATTACAACTCATATATTTATCTCTGTGGAGTGAAGAAGTGAAGAGGAGGGCAAGATAAATTCACAGTTGCACAGCCAGCAGCAGTGGAGGGAGGAAGTTGCTATGTGCCTTTCCAACAAGTTAATCCATTCTGTTTCAGAGAGTCCAGGGCCTAAAACGGCAGATGTATTGTAAAGTTGTAATGTTCTGTGCAGTGACTATAAGTTTGTCTGTGTAGGTGAGCAAACTAAAGCGTCACATTCGATCCCACACCGGCGAGCGTCCATTCCAGTGCAGTCTCTGCAGCTACGCCAGTAGAGACACGTACAAGCTGAAGAGACACATGAGGACACACTCAGGTAGGACAACATCTTAACTACTGTTCTACATGGATGAAGGAGGACAAGTTGACGTCTCTGTTTTCAGAGACCAGTAATGTTTGTCGACCATTTTTTCATATCTTATTGACTATTTCTGAATGCCTTAGTGTCAAAAATGATCAATTCCAATCAAAAAGGTTTGGAGGTAATCTGCCTTTCGTACAAAGCCCTCCTCCAGTAATTGCGAACCACAAACATCTACAAAACTATCATTTTCACTTGTAAACACTGAGGTTCGGCCATAACAGTGGATACAACATAGTTAAAATGTCTACTTTTGGGGTAGTTTATATGTGGTTTCTCCCACCTCCAAGGATTCTTAGGTTTTGTTGGATTAGAAAAATGAATAGTAATAAACCAGTGTACATGTTAAACCCTCTTTCCAGGAGAGAAACCTTATGAGTGCTACATCTGCCACGCCCGTTTTACCCAGAGTGGAACCATGAAAATGCACATTCTGCAGAAACACACTGAGAACGTGGCCAAATTCCACTGTCCACACTGTGACACAGTGATCGCACGGAAGAGTGACTTGGGTAAGAAATCCAAACAAATGCACACATTCAAACAGTTGACTTTGCCAAGCTGTTTCTCTTCACTTTTTATATTTTGTTAACCATGTTCACCTCCAGGTGTCCATCTTCGGAAGCAGCACTCGTTTATTGAGACTGGAAAGAAGTGTCGTTACTGTGACGCAGTTTTCCACGAGCGCTACGCTCTGATCCAGCACCAGAAGTCCCATAAGAACGAGAAAAGGTTCAAATGCGACATGTGTGACTACTGCTGTCGCCAGGTCAGTGCACTTATATCTTTATGATTTGATGTGTAGGGTTGCCATTCTTTCTGCAAATAAGTAATTTCCCTTTTGACTCAGGTATGGCTGGTTATTATTTAATGCGTACCATCCAAGTTATTTAGTTAAACATCTTAAAAAGTTGTCACAGAGGGTTAGGATTCATCCTCTTGGGATCATAAATGTCTGTACAAAAGGTATGGCCCTCTATTCAAGTATATATTGGACTGGACTAGAGTAGTGGATAGACAGACAGACATTCCAATCTGTCCGACCCTTGCTTCCAGCATTATGTAATTATTTGAATGGGTGTATAGTACTGGCTGGGTAACTGGTGTGTCCTATGCTTCTGAATACAGGAGCGACACATGGTGATGCATCGTAGAACCCACACTGGAGAGAAACCATATGCCTGCAGCCAGTGTGAAAAGACCTTCAGACAGAAGCAGCTGCTGGACATGCACTTCAAACGCTACCACGACCCCAACTTTGTCCCCACCGCTTTTGTCTGCCCCAAGTGTAGCAAGACCTTCACTCGCAGGGTAAGGATACTTTCTTTTGGCTGATGTGTCTTTCCTACAGGCTTCAACACAGGCTAAGGCTAGTATGTTTTTAGAAGTGAACAGTGTATAACAGTGCATCCTTGTAGAACACTATGGCACGCCATTCGGAGAACTGCAGCGGTGAGGTGGAGGATGCTGAGAATGGAACTCCTACCCCAAAGAAAGGGAGAAGAGGAAGAAAAAGAAAGATGAGGAGCAGGAGAGATGATGATGACGACAGCGGTGAGAATTTGATGTTGCATGATGGGCACAAATATTCATTTCACTCAACTCAGAGTACTACATCTCTCTTTGTTGAATCTCTCTGTCACACAGAGGAGGATCATGTTGATCCCGATGAGGAGGAAGAGGGTGAGGGAGAGGAAGAATCGTCACTGCTACAGGACGATGAGGACCCAGAAAGCATGGAATTGGACCAGGCCCCTGCCGCCATCCCTGTCCCAGCCCCCGACGAGCCACCAGTCAAGAGGAAACGAGGCAGACCCCCGAAGAATGCCCCTAAGCCTCCAACACCTATCAAGTCAGTCAGAGTGGCTGCCAAGACAACGGCTGGTGAGAAGACAAACACAATTTATTTAACACCAGTTGGTGTTAAAGAGCACTATGTGGGGAAAACAAAATGTATTTAGTCTGGAGGTAAATTTAATGTAAAAGCACATGTACTATAGATAAGAAATTATTATTATATTTCAATCAATTAAAGGTCCAGTGTGCAAGATTTAGGTGAAAGGGAACTATTGGCAGAAATTTAATGTAGAATATCCTCATGAAGTTTTCACTAGTTTGTTTCATCTAAATTGTATGAGTTGTATTATTCTTTACTCTAGATAACACCCTTTATATTTAAATACTTTATATTTACATCGAGGGGGTCCTCTCTACGGAGGCTGCCATGTTTTTTACATTAGTCCAGACTGAACAAACTAAACACCTTTTGAGTTTTTATGACAATTAAAGGCTACCACAGGTTCTTTTTCATGTTTGGAAGGAGAGGGTGAGGTGAGGGGTGTTCAGCTGCAACATGTAACTTCAACACTCGATATCACTAAATTCTACACACTGTACCTTTAAACAAATTGTATTTGTATAGCCTCTATTCACAAATCACAGTTTGTCTCATAGGGCTTTTACAAGGTGTGACATCCTCTGCCCTTAACGCTCAACAAGAGTAAGGATAAACTACCAAAAAAAACCCTTTTAACAGGGGAGGGGCATATTTCTGTATTAGATGTGGTTACGGCCGTTATGATTCGTGTCCACTTGGTTGAGTTGCTTTGAGCTGGCATTGTCTCTGTTAGTAAAACTTGTCCATGTTGCTGTGTTTTGCAGCTGCTGCCATCATTCAGGTGGAGGATGAGAGCACTGGAGCGGTGGAGAACATAATAGTGAAGAAGGAGGAGGGTGACATGTCCACAGCGACACCTCTAGAGGAGGGAGTGGCCCTGACCGTGGAGGGGGTGGGGCTGGATGGGGAAGGGGTAGAGACTGTTGAGCTGGCTGTGAACGAAGAAACGGCAGCTGCTGCCGCAAACGGCGATCTGACGCCAGAGATGATCCTGAGCATGATGGACCGGTGAACACAACACGCAGCGACACACGTGTAGCCAGACTGTGTAAAGCTAATATTTCCACATCCTTGGCCTTCACCTCATGTCTCATCTGTATGTGCTTTTAACAGCAGCCATGTTGGCGCCTTTGGAGTGGCTGCACAAACTGGTGACAGCAAAAATAACCATGCACAAAGAAAGGAAGCTGCATGTAAATACTTCCACAGTAACTTCACATCCATGTATGTCAACCTGCTGCACACTGATGTTTGTGGGACACACACACACACACACACACACACACATATACATATACACATACAAAATACCAGATCCTGTGTCATCTCATATACAGGTAAAATTTCCAAGCTAATTACTGACTGCTGTCTGCTCTAAATGCTTTTTTTCAGAGGTGAATGTCTATTGAATGAATCATGTATTTTGCTACTTGTGTCGACACAAAGCCACATCCTGTGTCAGTCCCTACCCACACACTCTGCAGTTAATGTTAAGACGGAAACTCCTCTGTGTGTGTTGCTCTGCCACAACCAGTCATCTGCTCTTGCCTCATCACTTTATTTTTCTGTTCTCTTGCTTGAGAATCTTTCCGAAGATTTTGCGAATCCCTGGCCTTTATTTGTTTGTATATAGATATTAATGTATTTTTTTCCTATTGAAGACATGGTATATGGTAAAGTAGATTGCCTCTCAGATATCACTGACTTTCAGTCACATGAACAGTTGAGTTTTTCCCCCCCTGAGGTCTGACTTGAGTCTCTTATAACAGGATATTGAAAGAAGGGTCCTTCCTTATATATGGGGAGAGGCAGGTACATTAAAATGAACAGAGCAAATTCATAACTGTGGTACATCTTTTAGCCTCATTCAAATGGAAACATGCCCTCAGTCAGATCATGTACAGTAAAAACTTGATAGCTGCTAAATTATCGACATAGTTTGAGATGAAGTAATTTTTCAACTGTTTTATATTTTTCTCCTACTTATTACTGTCGGGCCTATTTATAATTCACAGGTAATATTCTTCTTCCTTCCTGTTTTAAAAGAACATAGAACATTGGAGCAGTTACAGAAAATCCTGATTGGTGAAATATGTAGCTGTAGTTTTGAACATTCCAAAAAAAGTAGTATGAGATTATTTCAATGCATTTGAATATTCTCACTTGAAATAATCAGCAGTAACAAACTCAAATTTGTATAAGGTAATTATCAGCCATTCTAAAGCCAGTTCCATGTTTTGTTGGGACCAGACTAAGCTGTGAGTCAGTGAGTCCCTCAAACCCCCCCTCCCCCATGATAATCCATGATGTGGCAGATGACTTTTATGTAAATACATATTTTAAACCCTCTCTTCTTTTTGATTTCTTGTAAACCCCTTTTAATGTTTTTAAATCGCTGATTTGGGGATGTGTTGGTTACTTAGGTTCTCTGTTAAGTGGTTAACATGTCAGAACCAGACTGGGTCCCTTGTAACCAACCAAAACCACAATCATCGCTTTGTATTCTCTTGTTCAGAGCCATTTTCTGCTTTGATGTTGTTTTACAGTTTTGGTTTAAGGCCATTGGGTAGAGGTCACTGGGGTTTTCTACAGGTTGATTCGTAATCAGAGAAAACATGTTAGGAGAAGGTTTCTGAGGAAATCAACCTTCATACATCATACCTACACTGTCACTTGAGTAGCAATCATTAAGCAGCATCAGTTCTGTGACTTCACGACAACATGTGTTCTCAGTCTGTCATGTTGTTCTGCCGGCAGACAGATTATGTGTGACTGTTCTCACATCAGCAGAATTCTTTTTTTGCTCGTTTTGTCAGAGTTGAGAAAACCAAGATTATAAGACGTCCCTGTTTGAAGAGCTAGACAAAAAGAAGAAACCTCTGTCATGTTGAAGCTGAGACACTGTACAGCTGATGAAAAATAAAACCATCCTCATATGCCTACAACTGCTGCATGCTTCAGTTCTTTTATTCAGTTCGTACAGGTGGGTCTGGCAAGGCCCCACAAAATGTATGTCTTCTGTTTTTCTAGGTCAGTGCAGAAAAATACGGGGTAGAGCCGGTTGAAATAAAAAAAAAAACCTTGACTTTGAATATGCACATATTCTTTGTTTCAGAATTTTAAACTGCTGGACACCTGCACTTCAATGAAAAGTCCTGTCTTTGTGTTTGTATGTTTTGCTGAAGATTTGAAGAGACTGCTCTTAACAAATTGTGATTAAAATTGTGACTACCGTTGGGCTATATAAAAAAAAAATAGGCCAATGGGGGGAAATAGGTTATCTCATAAACAACACAAAGTGGTGATGGGGCCTGTATTCGAACCCAAACATTTCCTTCAACAACCATTCAGCCGAGAAACGTCACTGTCAACACTGCACTTCCTCTCGTCTTCAGCTACGCACCCAGTAAGTTCGAAGAAAGTCGAAGGACAGACACAGACAGATCAAAAGGATGAAACATTTCATAAGCAAGAGAGTAAAAGACTGATAATGGTTAAATCTGTGTTTCTATGTTTGAATAATGTCTAAATGTACCAACAAACATATAATCAGTGAAAAAGAAGGTACTCTTGTCCAAGCACTAAAGTACAATATACATACGGTGTATGTGCAACTTGAAATATTGTAACTCTCTTTTTTATGCAGGTTCCTATATTTTGTCTGAATTCATTTCACAGACGCACGTTGTATGTTTTACTCTGCTCTGACATTGGGTCCATCGCTACACTCTATGATAAAAATGTGAAATATGATGTGTTGTTAAAGGTCTAATCACACAAAGGTTATAGTCGTAATTGAATTAAAAGCCACTTCAACCATTTTTTTCAATGCAGGAAATTTAAATCTAATGAAGGATATTTGAAGTATTGCATTGGAATGCTAATTAATCCAAACCCCTCCAACAGTAGGTATAGATAGATAGATAGATTACTTTATTCATCCCCGAAGGGAAATTAAGTCGTCATAGCAGCCGGTATATTTGAATACAATAAAATACAATACGATAGAATAAAATAAAATATTGAGGTAAAAAGAATACAAACAGAAACACAAGATGAACAGGTATGACATGTGACTATATGTTTTGGGACCCCTGGTGGTTCCATCGTCAACCTGGCTGTGCGTGTACCACAGTACTGAAGTGTACAAAGAAATAAGCAGCTGTCTCACACATCAGAGTCTCTGACAATAAGTCTTTTAACCACTCTTTAAGTCACCTTTTTCCAGCCCAGTGTAAACTTTCAGGATTAGGGTTAGTGTAGTAAGTTTGAAACTCAACCAGACTGGGAGGTTAAACCCGGTTACCGTCTGCTCTGGCGTCTCTACCATCACTGCTATAGTGACGCACAACGTGAAACAGGATGTGCATGTCCAACTTTAAGAGCAGAAAAAATGTGTGCACAATAAGCAACGAAAGGTGACGTGCATGAGTGGAAAAAGGAGGGGGGGGGGGGAGAATTTGATGGTGGTTGTGGTGTTTGTGTGCGTGGTATCTTCACCCTGAATTTTCTGGTATATGCTGTCATTCTCCAGTACCTTCCTCCTGCCTATGTTTTAACATTTACTCCATGTTTTGGTGTAAAATCCTCAGTCTGACCAGTTCTCAGTCAGTACACTTCTCTCCTGTTAGGCCGTGTAGAAGGAAACTGTTGGTGCAGTTGTTGATCAGATTGATAGTGTTTTACTGAACACTACAGGATGGACTCCATCTCTCAGAGCCTGCAAGGTAAGATTTCTAACTATTATCTTAGTTAGAAATTAGAATGGAAAAGCCAAAGTGTGTTTTACCCAATGTACTACAAAACATTCTGTAGTGGTAAATATCTTCCGTCATTAAACCTTTAACGTTCAGTTTCTGTTGAAACTGATTTAGAGGGGTTTGTTTCAGACTTTATTTAGAATAATCCTCTTTTGTAGTTTCTGATCTGAAACATTTTACAAGTTTATTGCCAAAAAGACTGGGAAATTTGACAGAACTATGGAAAATCTTTAGAAACAGAGATAAGATCTGTTGATCAGATGTAGAATAAGTGTGTTGAATAGTTCATACTGCGTTACATGTGCAGTTTCAGAGACAGAGTGCTTCACAACCCACCGCTGAAATGGTGAGGTCAGGGGCGAGGAATGGTCTCCTTGGGTCTATCTGAGAACCCAGGTTTCTGGCCTCAGAATATAATTTTGTATTTAGACATCATTTCCACACCACGAACAAGTCCGGATCTTAAATTTAGTTAATGAATACGTGATGGTGAAGCAGACAAATATTTCTGTGAGATAAACTGATCACTGATGATAACAAAAATCCAGGATTGAAAGTTCCATGTAATTTTGCTCATGCATGCGTCATACCCATTAGCAGAGCTGCCATTTTGTCAAAACACTCTGGTTTCCATATTACAAGACTGTGAGGGACCCCTCCCTGACCCAGCTGGCCTATACCAGTAACACAATACATCATTCATTACTGAATGAACGCTCACATGAGGATGATGAAGGTTCAGCAGTACTCGTCACTGCAGACAGAGTTCAGGTGACAGTGCTCCTGTCTGTGCTCCTTCTAAACAGATGAGATCTCAGAGCTGCTGAAGCCCCACAGAGTCTGTCTGGTGACGCCTGTTGTTCTGAACGACTCCACTCAGACATGTGGGAGATCGTCCGGCTGGTTTGTGGTGAGTCACCGATAATGAAGGTCACATTTATCCTTTTTTCCTGGGGATAGAGGCCAGGTATCGGTGTCATCATGACAGGTTGAATCATGGTTTGGATCAATCCAGCACCACAGGTAGTATCCTAGTTAACCTGCACTGCTCTCCCGGTCTGCTTTTTCAGGTTCAGGATGTACGGTGCGCACAGTTATGTATTATGGTCTGGTCCTGTTTAATCACAGTTGTGGCTCACTGTGTATGTCTTAACTGTGAATGTGGTTTATGGTCTTTTGTTTAACTTGAAGCCCTGTGTCAAATCTCATCTTAAAACCTGACATCACTGCAAATTAAATAATAATCCTGGTATCAAATGTTGGGGGACCTAGAGGTCCGTCCATCCCATAACTGCTGCTGTGTCTCTTTCTCTCCAAACCTGTCTATGTTGTAGGTGCTGAGTCTGTGGAGAGGTTACCTGGTCATGAACAAGCAGCCTGTCAGGGTAAATCACAACTCACCCGTCAAAGCATCGGTTATGAGGAAAGTTAACTGTTAGGAAGCAAACTACCAAGACTGGAAAGACTTTAATTGCAGGGAGGTTAAGGCAAAGAGGGCAGTTAAAGTTAAGCTTGTGCTAAATTATTTTTCCTCATCAATCCACACCCCACAATTATTCAGTCTATTCAACTTGTCTCTTCATTATGGGGCACTGGGTGTGGAATGATGAGGCAGAGATTGGGAAAACTCAGTTTGGTGGAAATAATTTCAATTTATAGACTTTTGAGAGCGTTTGTTTTTACAGCTATGCAAATATAATTTCAAGGTAAAGCTTAGAATTAGGTTTAGGTTAGAGGAAGAGTGCCAAGACATGTATATCAATGAGGGTCCATGTATGTGTGTGTGTGTGTGTGTCTTTGTAGGTGGAGAGCACTTTCAGCTACATAGAGATTCGCTCCATCAACATTCACAGTGTCACAGAGGTACAAGTGAAGCTCGAAATAAATGTGTGTTTTCATAGACACTAAGCATCATGCATGTAAGACTCTCTGTGTGTGTTGCAGATTGTGTTGGAGACAGACAGGCAGACTTTGTCTTTCAGCGTATTGCAGGTTGAAGATCTTGAGACCATGGTCGCTCACATGACCGCTTCACTGAAGAGGGTCTTCCCTAATTCATCTCCAGGGTGGGTCTCACTCTACAACCTGATTGCACAATATGAGTACATAACCTCCAACCTGAATACAGAGAGTGACTGCATATGTGCAAGGTGTTAGTAAGTTTTCTCCATAAGAGCCTTAGTGCTCCTTGTTTCATTGCAGAGTTCTTTAGATATTCCCTCTTTTGATGATGGAGGGCTCTGTTTAACACATCTCAAAATCTCCCGTAAATGTGAAAGATCTGGTGAATGTAAGATTCACATTCAAGGAGTCCTGTCACTTATGTGAAAGCATTTGGATTCATTTCTCATGTATTGTGGTTCAACCGTCCAGCTGTCTGCATCTCAAAACATGAAGACAATGTCCTCAGCACACAAACGCTCACACTGACAAAACTTATCGAACAATTCCACAGTCCACAAGTTAGCCACACTGCTTGACACTGGTTGGATTTCCATGCACAAACATTTCGGTTCCCCTCAGGGTGAGATGTATATTGACTGATTTTCCATCAGACAGATAATCATCAGGTCGAAGTTTCAGTTTGTCCAGTTTATCACCGAGACCTGAAAAACGTATGTCATTGCATTTTAGTGCACAGGGCTAGTTAGCAATGATGTAAGCGTTTAACTCAAAGCACTATCTGTAGCACATCCTAACAGAGCTGCCAGTATTGCTGTTATACAGTCAGTGATACACACAGTGTGCTTCCTTCCCTTTGCTCCTCAGAAAGTTATTAAAGACGGTTCCTGCAGATCTCCAGCAGAGACTCATCACACTGACTGCTGTGATAGAGGAGCAGATGAACAGTCAGCCTGGCTGCTGTGGTATGAACCTTTCATTTAACAGTGTCTGAGCTCACATGTGATATTGAGCCATGTGTTAACTTTAACCTGTGCATCTTGTAGAACTGTCCCTCTCTCAAAAAGTCAACTTTGGGCAACTAAAATATTCAATCCATACGTTGAGCTGCAAATGCTTTTTGAACCACAACGTCTTTTTTTTCAAACAGTCTGATGCACTTATAGATTGTACATCGTGGATCTGAACAGGTCCTTACAGTTAAGATGAATAACTGTTTGAATCTAAAGTGAAAGTGTCTCTTCACACTGACGATGATGATGAGTGTGTGTTTCAATGTGTGTTCCTCAGGAGGATTCTCTGATACCTATGCTGCTTTATGTGATTTCAATGAGATGCCATTTAGAGAGGAGATTCAGTGGGTATGTCACTGCTGTATTCATGCTACTAATTATCATAAAAGTAAAAATGCTTCACATGCTACTGAAATGTGCTGTTTGTTTGTTTAATAAAACCATTCAGTGACCTTTCATAGCCACTTGACATGAACTGAATGTTAGTCCCTGTGTATAATGGCTACCTGCTTTGGCAGGATGTTGACAACATCTACTACACCCACAACTGTAGAGAGTTCAACCTGCAAGACTTCAGCCACTTAGACAGCAGGTGAGATCTAACTGTCTCATCCGATCGTATCCATCCTCAGTCACATACTCTGTTTCAATCCCTCTGGTTTCTCCTTTCCTCTGCTCTCAGAGATTTGGCGTTAGCAGTAGCATCTCTGTCCTTCAACCACTGGTTTACCAAGATCTACTGCAAAGAGCTCAAAATGGTAAACTCTCTTCTGTTTCTAAATATCTACGAAAAGATGAGCATTTTTTAATCCAGGCTTTTTTTTTAAAGGTCCAGTGTGTAAGATTTAGGTGAAAGGAAACTATTGGCCAAAATTTAATGTAGAATAATTCGCATGATGTTTTCACGAGTTTGTTGCATCTTAATTGTATAAATTGTAGTTTTCTCTTCCCTAGAAAAGGCCCTTATATTTATATTTAAATACTTTATATTTACATGGAGGGGACCCTCTCTACGGAGGCAGCCATGTTTTTTACAGTTGTCCGTACTGGACAAACTAAACACCTTTTAAGTTTTTATGACAACTGAAGCTGCTACCACAGTTTCTTTTTCATGTTTGGAAGGGGAGGGTGAGGTGAGGTGTATTCAGCTGCAATATGTAACTTCAACACTAGATTTCACTAAATTCTACACACTGTACCTTTAAAGGATTGTGTGCAAAGCATGTAAAGTCCATGCTTAATTCATGCAACCCAATAAGGAGGGCGGAGGTTAAAATTGTTTCACATTTACTAATCAGATATCTGTGTGTGGTCACATGACCAACAACCAATAAACACACTGCATGCTCTCGATTTTTCTGCCTCCTGAATCAACATGAATGATGGAGTCACTGCTAACAGATGAGAGATGCATCGCCACATTTCTCAGCACTGATGATGGAAAAAGGATGTGGAAAATCACATTGACTGGACATGTGTTTTAGCCTTTGTCTTTCTCTCTGTCTTTGCACTTTCAGTCAGTAGATGTCCAGCAGCAGCTGATTTTCCTGCTCTCCAGGTCTCCCAGTGTGGAGGAGCTCTCACTGGAGGCCAGTGGACTCAAATTGTGAGTATGTGTCTGACGACAATGTAAACAAACACTGCATAGAGAATCACAGTTGCTGACTGGTTGTACTGGATGTTTGAATCTGTTTGAAGTAGATTCTCCTCAGAAAGATATTATTCAAAGTTGTGTAGATGATTCTACAGTTCTGTAAATGTTGAAGGGCTTTGCACAGGTTCGGATTGGCTAGTTTACTAATAATGGGGATGAAGTGACACTTTGATGGAGAGCTCTCAGGACTACTGCAAATCTATGTCAATCACCTGCATTCTGTAACTTCCTTAAAGTCCATTCTTGATAAAGGTTGAGGATTTACAATACAAAGTTAAGTTTGGACATGTTGTTCCTTTTAGGATGCAGTCACCCAGCCATCTCTAACTTACGTACATATGTACTTTTGTAACATTTACAGTAATTCCCTCAGATTTTGCAGATTTTTCTGGGTAATAATCTGATCTTGTCCGTCAACTGATGATATGACCGTGCACACTGAAAGATCAACAAGGTGTGACATCCTCTGCCCTTAGCCCTCAACAGGAGTAAGGAAAAAGTACCAAATAAAAACCCTTTCTACAGGGAAAAAAAACGTAGAGACCTCAGAGAGAGCCACATGTGAGGGATCCCTCTCCCAGGACGGACAGAAGTGTAATAGATGCCACGTGATGGAGAACATCAGAGAAATAGTAGAGTAATTACAGCATTGGTTAGAGTAAATAGTTTGTAGCATGATGGTAAATGAATTGAGGAATTATTGTCAGTAATGGTAGAGTATCTGTGGAGACATATTGTTTATCAAGCAGTCTTGTTGTAATCATAGTCCACGATCAGGATCCACCATAATAATCCATCATCATGATCCACTGCCTCCACGGCGGCAGTGGATTTGGAGTCCAAACATACTTATTTAAAATCTACTTTTAGGCATTGATTGAAAGTGAGAAATAACTTTTTTATTCTGCCACAGTGACTTTGCAGTCAAGATGGCCGCCGCCCTGCATGAGGAGGCCTGCTCTAGCCTGCATTCCATCAACCTCTCGGGCAATCCAATCAAAGACAAAGGTGGGCTCTTTATATATCACATTTGGTATAAGCATAGTATCAGAATAGAGCAGTAACTCTAAGCGATCTTCCAAATTGATCCAAGTTGCCAGTTTAACTGTGAAATTCTTCCTCACGGAGCACTCTCTGTCGGAGGCCTCAATTTACTTTGCTCTTTCACTTGGAATGTGGTGACATCATGTGCTTCTGTTGCTTGGTTTTGCTTGGGTTGCAAGTACAGTAAGAACTTGAGTAAAGTTAAAAGTTAACAGCAGCACATGCAGCATCTGCCTGACCCCAGATGTCAGGATGGAGGAGAGAATGAGCACTGTGGTGTGGAATCACCCTGTTCTCTATAATCTGATGTTATCTACTAACCAGGACACAAACTGGAGAAACCAAGCGTGAAGAGACGAGGCAGCTGGTGAACTAAGCTTACCTCAGTGGGACTGTGTTGTCTGTCTCGAGCAAGAAACTGCAATAGTTTGATGTTTCGATGATTGCTCCAGCACCAAGCATCAGACACGGACACCTTCAAGTGCTGAAGCAGCGTGTATGTGTGAGTCAGTCAGTCAGTGAAGCTTTATCAGCCAGTGAAATGGGCTGCTGTACTATTTTTACTCTTCTTCTTGAGCTTCGATCATGCAGCTTGGGGTCAGTTCACTCAATTCACAGAAAAGACTTCATGTAATGTGTGCAGATGCACCATTTATTACTTCATTGCTGCTGTACAATTAAAATCTGCCACATCAACATCAATAAGTAAAATGCACTAATTTTAGTGGTTAATCCATATTATGTTAAATCTGTTTTGCTAATTGTATAAATACAAAATGTCTGCTACAACCTTAAGTACATTTATATCAAGGCTCTTTTTTGTTTTGAGCTGATTTTTATTTTCTATTCTCTGAACCATAATGAGGATTTTTTATAGGAGTCTGTGTATTTATAGCGTTTCTTTGACATTTAGTCTTGATGCTTCGAAGTTTCTTCTCAAAAGATACTGTTGTTGATCATGTCAATGTGAAATCTGTATAAAAAGTGTTCTCTCCCTTTGTCTGATGTAAGTGTTCTTACATCATACTAATAAATAAACAACATTCACATAATAATAACAACAACAACAACAACAACAACAACAATAATAATAACTTTATTTGTATAGCGTTTATCTAAACAAAAAATCCATGGCAAAAGGAAGAATGAATTATAATAAAAGTTTTTCAGTTCAGTTCAATTCAGAGCCAAATCATAACATTAATAAGGTCAAGACCTTAGATTTACAGAGAAACCCAACAGTTCCCAACAATGTCTACACTATTCATATAATTAATTTCACTATCTATAGCTAGATGTGACAGGACAAAAATGGGGGATTGTATTCACAACAGTTACTTGTTTAAATCAGCCCACACTCTTGGTTTCAGACGTATTTTCTGTGTGTGAGTGTTGTGTCTCTGTTCCCAGGTGTAATAGCTCTCAGTCAGGAGCTGGGGAATCTACCTAAAGGACTCAAGCACCTTTCTCTGTCCAGAGTATCAATGACTGCAAGAGGTATACACACACACACACACACACGCACACACACACACACACACACACACTATAAATATTACTTACCCACATTGGTCAGTTTTTATTGTAGCTGTATAAATCAGGAGGAAGAGCAGGATGAAGATGGAGGTGGTGGACATGCTGTACACAGAGCAGGAGACTGAACCTCAACCTCCTCCTCAGACCTCTCAGCCCTGCAGCTCTCCATCCTGCTCCTCCAGAAGAGCATGTGATGTTCAGGATCTGTAGTCTGTCAATCAATGTCATTACAAACCAAATGCAGTTATTTCACAAAATCCATTTTACCGTACATCCAGTTTTTCCTCCACCAACAACAACATCACTGTTGGTCCGTGGTGCATCTGTTTCCAGGTGTGGGCTGTCTGAGTCAGCTCTTATGCTCCAGTCAGCTGTTCTCCACCTCTCTGACCCACCTCGATCTGTCTGCTAACCCCAGCGGCCTGGATACTGAGGAGGCCATGGTACGCTCTGCTCTCTCACATTGTGTGTGTGTGTTTCATGCCAGGCTTAAGCTTTTCTCCTTATTCCTCTCATGATATACAACTCTGTGTGTATGTGTGTGTGTGTGTGTGTGTGTGTGTGTGTGTGTGTGTGCGCGTGTGTGTGTCTCATAGTTTCTCTTCAGGTTCTTGTCCGGCCCTAATTCTCTGTGTCACCTGGACCTCAGTGATACCAGCTGTCCCCTGGATACGGTCAGTGAGAGACTGAAATGAATTTATGTAAAGATACACATATGAAAGAGTGGTTTCAGGAGCAGTGCAGCCATGGAGCACAGTGACATCTAGGCTGTGACAGTGTAACAGAATAAACTCGTTATCAGGTCAGCATGCACAGATGGTTAACACAACAGAATTTGGAACATAATATAGGCTAAGGTCCTGTGTTTAAAGATGTCTAATGCTTATTCAACTGAAATGTGGGCTAGCACACGATTAACACTTTATTACCATTGACACTAATAATCATTTAGATAGATTCAGTTTCTTGTTGAAGTGTGGCAGTAGACATATTAAAAGGGGATGAGACCCGCTGGGGCTGTGTACGTATGGGGCCCAGATTGTTGTGTTCATTGTGTATTGAACAGGTGTGCTGGTCAGTCTGTATGTAACACTTGTCCATACTTCCTCTTTCAGTTATTTGTGTCGCTCTCCTCTGGCTGTTGTGAAAAACTGGTGCACCTGAACCTTGCCAGGAATCCTTTCAGCCACAGGTCAGCTCCATTGTTCCACTTCTGTTCTGTCAGTGCTCTTCACGCAACTATGAACCTGACATCCTCTCTGCGTCATTCATTCATCTCCTGTATTACCTCTTAAGTGGCCTAATTTACTGTTGTTGAAAAAGTATTATTTATTATTTTGCACACTTTTAACCAAACCCACTGCTCTGGTCACTTCTGTCGTCGGACACTCCATTTCTGTGCAGTGCAGTTACCATCCACACAATGTTTGCTTTTTGCACTCGGCTAAATCGTTGTGTAAAGCATAATAATGCTGACCCGACACACAGACAATACTACACACTTGAAAGTTTATTTAGTGGATTTCTTTTTGTAATCACTCATGTACAATTTCATGGTGTGCTCATGGTGTGGCATGTGGGTCATAAAAATTGTGTTAAAATTGTGTAAGCATTCATTTGTGTGTGTGTGTGTGTGTGTGTGTGTGTGTGT